CTGGGGTGGCTTGCTGAGGGGGGCGGAGGGGCTGGGGCTGGGGAGGGGGGCACCGCCCTGTAAGGCAAGGATGGCTCGAGCCAGGGAGCCCAGGACTTGCAAGGGGCTGTCGAGAACCAGCTCCCACGGGCTCAGCACAGAAGGTCGGGAGAGCTGAGCACCCTGCAGCTGTGTCCAGGAGGGGCCTAAAGTGAGGCCCAGTGACCACAGCGTCGTGGGGAGTGTCTGCTAGCCCCAAACAGACCAGGCACCTTTGGGAGATGGGGACTCTGCCTTCATCGTGCCTGAGCCCATCTCCCTGGGAGGCTACAGCTTCGGGGAGAGGCTCTGTACCCCAGCTCTGTGGCCTGTGGCCTATTTCAGGGTCAGGATCGAGACTGGGTGTATGCTGGGATGGCTGTGGCCACTCGCCTATACACATGCGACATGTACCATAGACCAGACCCGCTGACCTGAACCAAGGCCCAGCTGGGCTTTCCCTTGAAGGCCAGTACCCACAGCCTCTCCAAGGCCGCTTTGCCAGGGAGACCCGGGGAGGTGTGGAAGAGAGAGGTCAGCTGATCCTGGTCATGGCCCGGCTTTCAGATTTTACAAAGACTGGCCACCATGAAGCAGGTGGCCTCTAGGGCCTCCCTGAGGCAGAGCCCCCCCGGGCCTCCCATCTGCCCTCCTCTCCAGCCTCACAGCCCAGTTGAGCACATCGCAGTCCACAGTGGAAGACCCCATTTCAGAGCCTCCTGTGTGGCCGCGGCTGTCCCCGGACAGCAAGACTATGCAGAGCTAAGTGGGGGGACTTCTTCCCCAAAGCGGCTTGCAGGAAAGGCGGGGTTCTCTTGCCAACCATCCCCAACCTCTGGACCTTGTGTACCCCACCCCCCTCTTCTCAGCTTGCATCCCAAACCCCAGTTCCTACAATCTTAGCCCCTCCATAAAAGTACCCAATCCAGCCAGGTGCGGTGGTGCAGCCTGTAGTCCCAGCGGCTCAGGAGGCTGAGGCAGGAGGATGGTGAGTTCAGAGCCAGCCTCAGTAACTCAGTGAGGCCCTAAGCAACTTAGCGAGGCAGGCATTTCTGTGAAGCCATCTACCCAGGTCACAGTGAACCGTGGAATACACACGCAGAAACACACGGACGGACAGTGACGTGACTTGAACTTCAGTCACAAGTGCCAGTCTCTAGGGGTGGTTTATCTGTGACCACTGTGTTCCCGGAGTGAGGCTGGGTGCAGTGGGGTGAGCTGGAGACTATGGGGAGGGAAGGCCGGGGTCCCGGGGGAGCGGGATTAGCTCAGCCAGCCACCCTCCCTTTCCCAGTAGTGGTGACGTCAGTGCAACCAGCAGGTGGTGCACATTTGTCACGTCCCCTGCAGGCCTCACCCTTGATGAGCCCATCTTCCCCAGGCCAGCTCCTCACCAGCACTGGGGTGACACCAGTGTTGGCCTGTGTCACTCACTGGTTCATAGAAGATTTGTGGAGGGATTTGTGTGAGGCGCTGGTCAGCATATCTATTATTACGTGTATGAGAGGAAACCCCAGCTGACACTGGCTTACCTAAAAGGGAAGAGCGTTTCTCTGTCAGGAAATAAGCCTGGAGGTCAGCAGCCCAGGGACCTGGGCTCAGGGTTACCCAAGACCTGGCTTTCTTGGTCTTGCTGTCTGTCATCTGAAGCCATCACCTAGAGGTCCAAAACAGTTGCTTGACCTCCAGCCCTCATATCCACATTCCAGGAAGTAGGAAGAAGGAAAGGAGAAGGACCAAAAAGAGGCCCACCATGTGACCCCCTCAACCTGGAATGTGTAGGGCTCTACTCTTCAACTGGCCACTGCTGCTCCCCTGTCAGGCCCAGCTTCCTGACCCCAAGTACCACCTTCTGATGATAACCAGGTGGACGTTCGTGTAATTGGTGCATGTTGGGGTTCTGTCTGCGGCTGCTTTCACCCAGGGCTAGGGTCAGGCGAGGGTGACCTCCCATGTGGGGACACAGCCAGGCACCCTTGTGGCCCGTGCTCTTCCTGGCCGTCAGCGGCAGGCTGTTTTTCCTAGTGGTGGTGAGCAGGCGTCTGGGGGAGGCTGATCCAGCTCGCAGGGCGGGCCCCGTGCTTTCTGCTCTTTTCCCATTACGCTAATGGCGACCCATTTTGTCTGCCACACACTGGGCTGTCTTGAAGATGACAGGTTGACAATGACTCCCGTTGGGTCACTGCGGAGCGAGGAGCCCATTAGAACACTGCGCCGGGAGCTGTCATCCCAGAAGTGCTGTCCTCGCTCGCCCGAGCGGATCTGCCCTCCGCGGGGTCCCAGCTCGCCTCCCAGCTCCGCCTCGCGTCTGTGCCCACGGCGCTCGCTCGGGCCTTGCAGCCCAGCTCCTGGCCACCTTCCAGATCTGCCCAGAATCCCCCACCACCCAGGGAGGCCTGGGGACCGAGCTGCCACCCCAGGCGGTGGGAGAGGCTGGCACGCGGGAGGAGGTGGCCTGGGCACGTCTGTCCTGATCATGCTGCCTGGCGGTGCAGCACGGGCTTTGATGTGGCTTCTGGGGACCAGAGAGGATCTGCCTAGGACCGCATAGGACTCTCCATGAGAAACGGGGGACAGGTGGCTGAGGGTGGTTCTTACTGGTCAGTCACTCATTCTTAACACAGTTTCTCTCTATACCAAGCCAGCCCCCCACTCGGGGCCAGCCCCCCACTCGGGGCTCATGCGACCTTCCTGACTCAGCCTCTGAGAAGCTGGGGCTGCAGGCTGCGCCACCACCGCACCCCTCTTTGGCTCTTCTTATAAATGCTCCCCCTCTCTTCTTAGCGACGTTGGCTCAAGAGCCACGCGTCTTTCTAACAGGAAGGCGCTCACCAGACAGACCCTGGGGTTTCTTTTAAAGCAAAAAGGAAACAAAAAGAGTCCAACTCCCGAAGGAAGGCAGCGGAGGGCCGGGACTCAGCCCAGGGACGGCACCCGCCCGGCACGCAAAGCCCTGAGCTCCGACCTCGGCCCTGGGAGAAAAGCCAGGAGAGCTGAGGAGAGCTGGACAGGGTCCTCGGGCAGGCGGGGCACCTGTCCCTCAGCCACCCCGAGGACAGGCCTTTCCAGACAGGCTCAGAGCCTCCTGTTCAAGGGAAGCTGAGAAAAATGTGTCCTCAAGATCTGGCAGCCTGGCAAGAGGGACCTGAGAGAAGGAAGGTGTCCTGAGCTCTGGGACACCAGGACAGAGTGACAGCAGGACTCACCTCTAACCCATCACTGTCAGGTAGAGGGGGGATACCTGTGGCCCGAGCCCCTGCCAGCTCCCAACACCCCTTCAATCAGGGACACACAGGCCACCTCTCTGCAGGTCACAGGGAGCCACCCTGGCGTCCACATCTCAGCTGCCCCTCTGCCCTCCACTGCCAGGGCCACACCCTCACTTCCTCTTCCCTCCCTGGCAGGAAGCCACTGTGGGGTTAACTGTGGGCTTCAGAACCAGCCTGTGGGTCGAGGCCAAGGCCTGGCCCCTCCCCTGCCGCCCCAGGCTGTGGGAAGAGGACTGGGAGGTCATCCCGCCCCCACCCGAGCCCCTCGCCAACCAGCATGGCCCAGAGTGGGCACTTGGCACCCTAGGCCAGAGCCCTGTGCCTTTGAGCCCTGTGCCTTGACCAGATCCTGGGGCACACAACGTCCTTTTCGCCCATGTGGAGGCCGGCGGGTCTCGCCAGGGGGTGCCCCAGCCATGGGCACAAGGTTCTTGAGACCAGAGAGTGGGAGGCACTGGTGAACGGCCTGGTCACCGTTACCATTTGTCTTGTAACCCAGTGACTGTGGGGTTCCAGATGACCACTCTGAAATTTGGCCTGGGTGGGAGAGTGGCGTCCCCTTGCCCCCAGTGGTGGTGGGGTATCCAGCCAGCCGAGGGAGTGTGGGGCATGTTTGCAGCGCGTTCCCCCGTCTCCAGACACCTGAGGTGGCACCCGACTCTCCTGGTGTCTGAATGGGGAGGACAGCCTGGGCTTCCCTGTGGCACCGTGGTCCCCTGAGCCCCCACTCAGGAAGTTTTTGTGGGTAAGAGGCAGGGCTTGTGCCTGAGGCTTCTTCCTGCTGCTAGGCCCATGCCCACCAGGGACCTGGAAGTCCGAGCCTCCACTCTGGGCTCCACAGGTTCTCCAGCACCACTAAACCCTCGAATCTTCCAAATGGACCCAGAGCCAGGAGTGGCTGCTCCATAGGGCCATGGGCTGTCCAGGACGGTTGTGCCCTGCCACAGGAAGGGCCCACCACAGCCCCAGGTGTCCAGGCAGCACTGTTAGCAGAACAGTGGGCTTGCATTTAGGGGGACAGAGCTTGCGCTCCCCGCCATCCGGGTGGGGACAGAGCGGGAACAGGCCCTGGCCGCTTCACAGCACCCCGGGTACACTGCAGATGGGCCAAGCTTGGGCAGAGGGGTCGCCCCAGCAGTCCCCAGTCCTCTGGAGGTCTCTCCCAAGGGAGGCTGGGAGGCTGCAGCAGAGCTCCGGGGTCCTGTGGGGCAGGGGCAGCCGGCTGAGGGGGGACGACAGGGGCGGGCTCAGCCACTGCGACGGGCCGCGGGTCTGGGGGTGTCTCCCACGGATTCGGGGGTTCGTTCCTGCGGACGAAGGGGCTCTCCCGCCCCCTCCTGTGGTGCAGGCTCACAGCACTGAGAGCAGCGGAGTTCCGGTCACTGCGGTCCCCGCGGCTCCCCGGGGGCGGGGGCGGCGCTGGGCGGTGACGTGGTGGCTGCGGCTCCCGCACCCCGCACGCGCGGCATAAATAGCGGCGGGGCTCGGACTGCATCACGTCGGGGAGCCGGACGCGCCACGCGGTGAGCGCCAGCCCGCGCCCAGCCCCGGCCACGCGACGCCCCGACCGACCCCGCCGCCTGGGAGCGCTGCCGGACCCGCCCCGCCGCCCTTGCCGACCCTCCGCCGCTCAAGGTACCCGCGCTCGGTCCGCTCGGGCCCCGCGTCCCCGCCCCGACGTGCGCCAACCTGCCCCGCTTCGCCCCGCTGCAGATGGCCAGAGGCAGCGCCCTGCTGCTCGCCGCGCTCCTGCTCGCCGCCGCGCTGCCGGCCACGCTGGGGCTCGGGCCGCCGGTAAGTGCAGGGGACAGGGCCCCCAGGGCGGGAAGGGGCAACCGCATCAGCTCCAGCGCGGGGTGGAGGCTGGTGCGTCCCCTGCCCGCCCGCCTGGAGGTGCGCGTCCCGGCGGAAGGGACCCCGAGCTGCGCAGGTGAGCGGAGCGCGCTGGGTGGGCGCCCGGTGCGCGCTCTGGGTGCCCGCCGGGCGGCCCCGCTTCCCGGACAGCGCGGGGCTTAGAAGAGGGTTCGTCCGGCTCAGCTGAGATGAGCGCCACAGCCCGCGCCGGCTGGGAGCCCAGGAGGCTGAGTCGCCCTGGGTCAGCGTCAGACAAAGGGCTCCCCGCCTTTGTTCCACTGGCCTGGAGAGCCCCGCTGCGCCCCGGTCACCTTAGCTCCGCGGGCTCCGCGGGCCGGCCCCCCTGACCCGCCTTTCTCCCGGTTAAGGCAAAGGAGAAGAGAGGCTGGACCCTGAACAGCGCCGGCTACCTCCTGGGCCCGCGTAAGTGAGGGACAACCCTCGGGCTATGGGGTGGTCGGTTAATCCCGCTCCCTGGAACCTGCTAGCCGGTGGTCATTTTAATACGTGGATGTCCAGTTTGGGCCACATAAAAGGAGGACATTTACATGACACTGTGAGGGGACTGGGCCCCCACCAGCTTAGCCAGCTCCTTAGTTCCACGGATACCCTCTCCCACTCCCAGGAAGGCAGCCCCAGACCTGAGCTGTTTCCCGGGTACTTCATGACCTCTGGGGCCCAGGAGAGCTAAGGCCAGCTTAGGAGAGGCAGCCTGGCAAGCCCTCTGTCAGAGCTCAGGTCCTCGGCTGGGTGGGACTGCTGCGGGGACACCTCCGGGGTCAGGCCTCTGTAGCTCAGTGCCAGGAACCCTGCCTGCCTCCGGGACAGTGAATCAGTCTCCCCTCGACTGGCCCAGGTTGTGTAGCCAGGACCTGGTCCCCTCCTGAACAGCCACACCCAGCCCCTCTGCACGCCCCTCCCACTGGCTCAGCTCCACCGAGCTTCTCTCCTGGACTCCCGTGACAGCATCCGAAGTGCTCTTCTTGCCATTGCAGTCCCCCATGTCAGCCCCAACACCCCGTCTCCCTCCCTGCCGCCTTCCTCTCTCTGGCTCCACTCATCTCCACACGCTGCCAGAGAGGTCTTTTGTTGTCCTCATGGAAGGTACCGGCTGTGCACCAGGCTGTCCTGCGAGGCCGGCTTGTTGCATGCCCCCTTCTTTTGGGAAGCACCTGTATGAGTGGGCAGATGGCCCCGTCACCTGGCCTCCCTCTTCTGTGTTTCCACGCTTTGCCTTACTTTCAGTCTGGCTGTCCTTTTGGGGGGAGGGCACGATCAGTGAGTGGTCAGTCTCTCTCCTCTGCAAGCAGATGCCATCGACACCCACAGATCCCTTAGTGACAAGCACGGCCTGGCTGGGAAGCGGGAGCTCCAGCCCGAGGAGGAAGCAAAGCCAGGTGAGAGGAGCGCCCCCCCACGCCCACCCTCCCAGGGGCGCAGAGTGTGGTCAGGAGCAGCTGCAGGGACCAGGGGGCTGGGCTGAGGGGTCTTCTAGGCCCAGCCCCTCCATGGCTCCAGGGAAAGCACAGGGGTGCCCTCTAGCCCTGGGTTGCTCACTGCCCTTGCGGTGCCCAGATCCCTAACAATGGGTGACAGAGGGTACAGGTGACCCTTTCTGTTTTCTAGGAAGCCTCGACAGGTCGCTGCCTGAGAGCAATATAGTGCGCACACTAATTGAGTTTCTGACTTTCTTGCATCTCAAAGGTACGTGAAATATCACAATTTTTTTTAGAGAGAGAGAATTTTTTGATATTTATTTTTTAGTTTTCGGTGGACACAACATCTTTATTTTATTTTTATGTGGTGCTGAGGATTGAACCCAGTGCCCCGCACATGCCAGGCCAGCATGCTACCGCTTGAGCCCCATCCCCAGCCTCGAAATGTCATAATTTCAAAACGCCATTTTTGGCTGGGGATGTGGCTCGGTGGTGGAGCACCTTCCTGGCATGCGCAAGGCCCCGGGTTCCATCTCCAGCCACACACATACATGCTCTCTCTTAGAGCACCCGGCACACAAAGTCGATCAAGAAAGGGCTCCACCCGCCAGGTGTTGTGGTATCCCTGCTACTGGGAGCTGAGGCAGAGAATCCCTTGAACCCAGGAGCTTGAAGTCAGCCTGGGCAACACAGGGAGACCATTTTAAAAAGAAAAAGGAGAGCTGGGGATGTAGCTCAAATGGTAGAGTGCCTGCCTAGCATTCACAAGGCCCGGGGTTCAGCCCCAGCACCACCAAAAAAAAAAAAAGAAAAAGAAAGAAAAGGAAAACAAACCCAGGAAAACAAAAAGGAAAAAGAGAAAGGGTTTCGTACATTTATGCAAAGCCCTTTCCTGGTGTGTATTAGGGTTGCAGGGACAAGACACTGATGCTAGGACTGCAGCACAGTCACAACACTGCCCCTCAAAGCGTCACCAGCCCAACATTGCTACCTGGAAGAGAGGGGCCTTCGGGTTTAGTTTGCTCCACTGGATCCATCATGGTCTTTGACATGGTGACAATTGACCTGTCCCTTAGAGCAATAGCAAGCCTCAAGCCAGGTGCTCTAGAGGCCGCCTAGGGTCATATTCAGATCACAGAGAAAAGGCTCTTGACCCCGTGTGGCCTTAATGGGACAGTCACCTGTCAGAACACACCGCAGTGGTGGGAGGAGCCCAGGAGGAGGCCCGAGGCTCCGAGCACTAACACAGGGAGGCCAGCGTGGGACCTGGTGGGGGACGAGGATGGACCACTTTGTCGGAGTCTCCAACAGAGACGTTGGGTGGTTGACTTCTGCACTTGTTCTGCTGTGGGTGCAGTGTGGGGGCTCTCTCTGCTCCGTTTGGCTGAAGGACTTCCGGCAGGCCTGGGGAGAGGGGGAAGTCGGGGCTGCTGCTCCTCCCCTAGCACCATCCAGGCACAGGGAGAGTGCGGAGGAGGACTCAGTGGTGTGTGGTGTTTGCAGGCTCCAAGCCATCAGCCAGCTCTGCCGTAGGGCCCAGGGGGCTTGGGGGGCCTGGGGAGCCTGGCTTCTCCCACCAGGGGCAGGCGGGGTCTGCATGTCGTCATTCTGGTTTGTTTTGCTTTTAATTTTGTAACATGGAAAGTCCTTTGTTAGGAGATATCGATTTCCATTACCCGATAGCAATTATACTTCTTTATAGCCTGAATTAAGAGCCGGACAGTTTCAGATGCATTCTGAGCACGGGCGTTAAGAGGTGGGAGACAGAGGGCTTCCTGCCCTTCCTGCCGTGGCCAAGGCCGGTTCTCTCTTGCCCGCTGCCTGAGCGTGTTTCTTCCCTTTCCAGAGGCTGGAGCCCTCCACAGCCTGACCGGCCTCCCACCGGAGGTCTCCTCAGAAGACTCAGAGCAGTCCTGAGGCGCCGTCACCCTCGAAGATGAGGAAACTCTGCCCTTCTGTACAGAGTGACCCACTCTGTGCTCCGCTTCTGTGCTGTGCTGCTATCATTTAAGATGATTTGGTTTAGGTAATTGTTCTGAGCGACAAAATAAAAAATAGCAACTGCGCTCGTCTGGTTCTTGCGGGCTTTGGTCTCTGTTTTACCCACGCTGCGCAGCAGATACAACCCCAGAGCCCAGACACCGCGTGGAGAGCATCTCTGCGTCACCCCCTATTGCATGTCCTAGTACTGAGTCAGACGTGATGACGGAGACAAGTCTGTTACTGAGATGAACAAAACACAAGCCCACAAACCCTCGTCCTGAAGAGCTGCTATTTAGGGACAGGCCAGGTTGGATGAGGGTGACAGGGTGGCTGTCAGTGCTGTGTGGTGACAGCCGGCCAGCAGGGGTGAGGGGTGAGGGGTGTCAGCTCTGCCTCTGCCTGGCTCATTGTCATGTGGGAGAGACCCTGCGTGGGAGAGTGTGTGGGAGGCGGGATGGGGCCTCTGGGGAGAGCTGGAGCCTGTCAGAAGGTTCTGGAAGAAAACAGGCCAAGAGGAAGGGCCAGGAACCTTCGGAGGACAAACGTGCAGGCTGGGGGGCTGGGAGGGGCCTTTCCCTGGACTCAGGCCCTAGTAGCCTGGAGGGTGGGAGGGGACTGAGGAGCCCCAGGGCCTGGTGGCTCACCCACCGCTGCATTCATCCTGGGGACTCCCCCACGTGATGGCCTTGGCGGCCACGTGTGAGGGTGGACCCTACCTGGATCTGCGTGGAGGGCTGCGCAGCGTGCTGCTGTGGGCTTGGGAGCGACCCTGTGGACTCCAGACCTGCCCTCGCCCTCCCCTGGCCCGTCCCATCCCAGCTGCTCCCCACCCCCACTTGCTCTGTGCTCCAGGACCTCATCCACCCTTCGACCTCCAGGCTCCTGCACTTCAACCAGGTGTCCACTCCCAACACCCAGGCCTGGACAGGGACGTGGGGCCTCATTTCTTCTCCTTCACATTTAATTCTCTCCAACTTGAGCAGCTACTGGGGACACCTGCCACTGCTGCCCTGCTGGTCCAGGACAGCATGGGCTGGCCCTCTCAGCACCCAGCTGCAGCCTGTGCTGTCTGGTGTCTTGCCACGCCCATGCAGGGGCCTGTCACCACGGAGCTGCCCCCAGCCTCCTGGCTCAGCCCTCAGGCCAGGACCCACTGCAGCTGCTACCCCAACTCACCTGCTGGAGGCCAGTGCCCACGGCCCTCCTGATGCCTGGCCAACTCCTTGAGGACTCCCAGGATTCTGAGCCAGAGTCCCCTTGTTAAGGACACCCTTCCTGCTCCCAGTCCCCAGCAGGTCCCCAGCCACCTAATGGAAGGCTTGTCACCCACCTCCGTTGGCTGGTTGTTGCCTCACCACATTGGCTCCCTGGGGAGTCAGCCACAGGGCCCAGCCCGGATTCCTGCACAGCCCAGCTCCTGCCAGCCCCAGCCGCAGGCCTCTGGCAGATGGTGGGCGGTGGAACTGGTAGTGCCCACTGTCCAGAGGCCTCCCTCTCCCCTTCCAGACCCTTCCTTCCTTTTAGGAATCAGAAGGAGGCAGCCAAGGGGAGGGGGGCCAGGGTTGGTGGGGGTGTGGTGGCAAAGAGATGGGTGAGGTGACAGTCTCAAAGGAGCCACAGAAGGTGACTTCTTTACTTCCTGGGGAAAACACCTGAGAGCCAGCTGCAGTCCTGTGGGACAGTCCCCTGTGCTGAACTCTGTTTCTGCACCTCAGACCCAACCACACTGAATATAGTTTAAAGAATTTAAAAATGCAAACAAAAACTACACTCTACCAACAACTGTTGACAAAGCTGCATCTTGTGCTAGGAGTGACCTAGAGAGGACCGAGGTGCAGGTTATGTGTAATCACCTCGCTGCTTTAGAGTGGGGGCCGTGGGGCGGGGAGGCTCCTGGCGCCTGCGTCTGCCTTCACCCAGGGCTCCCTGCCAGAGCCCCAATCCCAAGAGGCCAAGGGGGCTTAAAGGAGGCGGCCCGGGTCAGAACCAGGCTCTGCTCATGGCTCACTGATGTGCCCGCGCTGGCCCCGCCACCAGCTTCCTCCACTGCCACTATGTGGCGCCAACCGGAGTGTCCTAGCATTCAAAGTGACAAAGGCGGCTAAAGAACGCGGAAAAGGAAAGAACCCGACTTCACTATGTCTTGGGAGGGTATTTTTTAGATGCATGTATTTTCAATTACTAAGTTAAATATGACAATTGAAGACTTTGGAAATTTTTATTAATCTTTACGTTTATAATAGAACCAAAAGAGTCATTATAATAACCAATCTTATGTGCTGGCTTCTGCAAACTAATTACTCTAGCCGTGTTTTACATTTAATAATAACAATCATTCTGGAGAAGTTAATCGGATAATAGAGCTTTTCCTCAATTCAAGTAGAAATGTATGAGAAACTAAATACAATTTGAAGTCCTTCGACTCAGCCCTCCTGCTGCTAGCCTGGCCTGTGGGCCCCACCTGCCCGTCCTGGTGGCATTGGAAGGCTGGTGACCCTGTGAGTCTTGGGGGACCCTCCACACTGCAGATGTGCTCTGAGGTGCTCAGTGGCTCCTCAGAAACTGTATGTCACACCGTAACAGCTCTCTGGAGAATTTACTTCTAAATCATTTGAAAAACAAAACACACAAACAAAAAGCAAAACCACCCTGGTTTTCCCTGCAGGGCAGCCCACTCCCTGGAGAGAAGACTCCTGTGCCATGCCTTCCTCAAACAAGGCGCCCTGCTGAGCACCTCGGGCAACTCTCCAGGCCTGGTGCAGACCAGAGCTCCATCAGGTTTTATTTTATTTACTTTTGGTATCAGGGATGCTCTACCACTAAGCTACATTCCCAGCCCTTTTTGTTTTTTATTTTATTCTGAGACAGGGTCTCTCCAAGTTGCTGAGGCTGGCTGGAACCTGTGATCCTCCTGCCTCAGCCTCCCAAGCTGCTGGGATGACAGGCATGCGTCACCGTGCCCAGCTAAGAGCTCGGCTTTGTTAGGCTCCTGTGGCCGCAGGCTGGCCTCTTGCTCCTCCAATCCCCTTTCTGAACCAGAGCTTCCTCAGAACGCCGAGGTACGTGTTTGCATGCACTCAGGGCTTGCTATACTACATGGTACTTGACTCGATTTTCAACCCCTTGGACTTAAACTCGATGCGGAGAATCTGCGACAAACATCTTCCGAATTCCTCCAGGATCATCTGCTCCGCCAGGCACTCGGAGCAGTGCTCCTTCTCCGCCTCCTCACCCTGAGCCAGCAGGCAGGCGCAGGTGGCCTCCACCACCTCCCAGGAGATGCAGGAGGAGAGCCGCCTGCAGGAGGAGGGCAGGGGCTGTCTGAGCTCTTTCCTGCTCTGCAGAATGTGGCTCGCCCTGCCAGCCTGAAGTCCCTGCCGCAACCCATGCTGCCTCTGGCCAACGCACAGGGCGAGTTGGGAGGAGCAACACCGGCAGGCCAATCTGCCTCACTCCCACACCCGCTCCTGACAGAGTCCGTATTTTTTCAGAATTTGGTCCACCACCCAACCCAGGGGCTCCTGAGCTACGCTGTGGGACACGAGGGCTGGGCAGGGCTTGGGGACACGGGACTCTCAGAACAAGGACCCCAGGCAGCCAATCAGTGTAAGGAAGGTGGCTCCACCCATGCCTGCAGGGTGCCTGCCCTCCTCCCCACAGGCCATCGGGAGCTACAGGATGCATGTGGCCCCGAGGACATGCCACGCCATGCCCACTGTGGCCTCACCCTCCACACCCTGTGAGACTTGGAGTCACTTCCCACTGAGCTGCACCGCCCAACCTCTGAAAGCCTCCAGGATCATGCTGCCTCGGGAGGGGGCTGCTGGGTCAGAGCAGCTCTGCACCCTGCCTCTGCTGTCCCCCCCCTCTGCTGTCCCCCCCTCTGCTGTCCCCACCTCTGCTGTCCCCACCTCTGCTGTCCCCACCTCTGTTGTCTCCACCTCTGCTGTCTCCACCTCTGCTGTCCAGGCGCATGGCCAGGGGAGACGCTGGCCCTGCTGGTGGCCCTGGCCAAGCCTTTTGCCTTGTGCAGAACAGGGCACCTCCAACGAGGACAAGCAGGACAAGCAGTTTTGGCAGCAGGGCCTCCAAGGAAACCTAGTGGGCCTCTAGGGTGGGCGTCTCCCTTCCTCCCGCCCCAGGCCCGCCCTGCGGACGCTCGCTCACCTCCCCAGCTTTCCACTGTCCTCCCAACTAACCTCACCACCCTGTGGGTTCGGGGTACCTACCTGTCTTTTCTGAACCTCGGTAGTCCTGAAAATTTAGTTGGTGACAAATGATGGCTGCCTTCAAGATCCGCCATCTCCACGTAGCTTGGCATGTTCGTCAGCGTCTTTCGCTCTGGGCTCTCCTCGTAGTTTTTGCAACCGACGCATTTGCAAATAGAAGAGCACATAATCTTGGCCTGGAACATAAAATGCTTCAATAAAATGGGGTTGTCCTATAAGTTATCAAAAACTGACAAATTCTGTTTGGACTTTAAATAATTCTTTGCTTATATGTGATCATGTACAATCCACAATTTTCATACCCAAAACCCAACAGATGCCAAGAGGAGTGAGCGCTGTGGTGCTGTGCCTGGGAACACTGAGGTGCAGCCGCCGTGGGGGCTCACCCTCCTTTCTGCACTGCAGCCCGGCAGGGCTCCATCTGAGTTTTCCAGGGCCTTCACTAAGTTACCCAGACTGGCCTCACACTTGCAATCCTCCTGCCTCAGCCTCCTGAGACTACACACTGGGACCACAGGTGTGACCTCGAGCCCAGCTCTCCATCTGACTCTTGCTTTGCACAAAGCCTGGTCTGGCTGGTCGGTGACACCCCAGCTCCACAGCCTCCCCTTCACACGGAAGGCATGAGGCAGGCCCTGCTCCTGTGCAGAGGTGAGTCAGTGGGTGAGAAAGCCACTGGGGCAGGGGAGGTCAGGGGAGACCTGTCCTGCTTGCTGCTGGGTGCACCCCGAGTCTGGTCCTTCCTGGTAGTGTGAGGCCCAGGAGGTGTCCTCCAGGTCCACCTCCCTGCCCATGCAGCCTTAGGCCGAGCTGGCCCCTGGCTTTTAGCCTCCTCTGCTGCAGCCCTGAGCTC